CAAATTGAAAATACCAATTTTGTCATTTGAAAACTTGGCTCACCCCTCCATGAAATATATAGAGAAATGTACTATGTTTCCAATTTAAGATCATCAGAAAAGTGCACAAACAATATGGAGGAAATAGGAATTCAGAAGTAAATGTAAAGAAAGAAAGAAAAAAAAGCTATATTATAAGGGAGAGAAATAAAGAGCCAGGGAAGGGGGTAAATATAAGAATTAGAAGCATCTATAAACAGAAGTACTCCAAAAGACAAAACAGAATGAGAGACCCAGGGAAAGTGTCCTTAGGCAATTTATCAAGGTTTATTACTCAAAGACGCACCCTATCAAAGTCGTGTATCTATACTTTTGTCTATATATGTCTGTTCTGATCTTAGTGAGTCAGCAATTGTACTTAATTCTTTTGAATGGCAGGCTTGGGTACATCGTCTTCAAGACACAAGGGTATGGAGAGTAGAAACCCGGGAAGGGAAAATTACTGGGAACGAAAGTACAGTTGATACCTGCAGGCAGGATATGGGAGGCAGTCAGAGAAAGAACAAGTGACATTTCTTGTCAAATCTCCCAAATTAAGTGTTTTATCCCAGCAATGAATTGAAGTGGGTTGGAATCCATCCCCAGCACTTTTCTTCTCTCTGTTTTTCCTTCACCATAGGTATGCATGTATGTATAGCTCAACTTCTTATATTCTCAGTGCTTCCCTTTTGGTCTCTTTAAGCCTGCTCTCTGATGCATCGGCATTTTTCAAACATACAATTAGATGGGTTTGGAAGGCAGGAACATAAAGTCCATAAATATTCAAACAAATTTGGGCTTAAAGCAAGATAGCCCTGCCCAAAATGAGTTTATTCATTGAGTAGGAAATTCGATTAATAATCCCACCTAGACTGAGGAAAAGGCTAAGGTTAATATCTGCATAAATTTGTCAAAACATGGATTACGGCCTTGGAACATCAAACATATTTCAATTTCTCAGTCCATTGTCTAAATAGAACAGAAATAGAAGGGCCATTTACTTATTATTGGTCTATCTTCTTCATATTTGTCCATGGGATAAAGAAGAACAAATATGAGTTTGGGTTCAATGCTATATTGTAAGAAATTTCAAACAGGGCATCAATTTCAAAGAATGTCAAAACACAAAAAGAATATAGCCCAAACTAAACTTAGTGATAAATGTCTTGTCTGTATGAGTGATGGAAGATTTGTGCAATTTTTGCAGACACTTTCAAATATTCCGGGGGGGGGGGGGGGGGGGGGGTGGGTGGTAGTAGATCATAATATTAGCAACATGTTAAAGCAGAATGTGAAGGCAAAGCCATATATAATAACAGATGCTTATTATTCATGGGATAATATATAATTTGAAATCTTTTTCATGTTGCATTTTGTCTGCCTTCCATTTTCATGTACCTTGTTTTTTTATAATGCTGGAATTGATATTAAGCGGATAGCATAGCTGGAGATAAGTCATAGCGAGGTTTGAAGATCTCTTCTTTTCAGAAAGTATAAATTTGGGTATGTTTTCAACCTGAATTCCCTTAATCTCATGCAGATTTTAGTCAGGTAATGTTCAGATAATATGTATGGATGTTTTCTGAGGTGAATGCCTTCAGGCAATATGCTCCTCATTAGAAATTCATGTGTCGACGAACTTGTGCAAATCATCCATATGAGTTTCAATAAAAAAAAAAAACCTTATTTGTATGAATTGTTTTGGTATCATATTGATCCAACTATAGATGTAAGGACAATAAGAGTGAAGTGGGAGTGAAATAAGAGATGTTTAGTCGACAGATATGAATTTTACACCTCTAGGGCCATTCGCCTTGCTGATCTTGATGTACTGTCTAAAAAAAATTGAGTGATCACGGACGTCACTCCTCTGGAGAGTGAAAATGTAGTGAAAATAGAGTGAACATTCACTCTTTTCTTCTTAGAGAGCACTCTAAAATCAATCGATTTTCACTCCTAAACAAGTGATTTTTTGTATTGTATTGTATTGGTTTATTGAGATAAAAATCATTGGACATGCAGCTAAAAGCTGAAATTGTTCAATTTACAGAGTAAAAAGTACATGGCATAACATTGCATTGATAACACATTAAAATATATAGAACACTTAACAAATATTGTGTATATTTAAATATGATTTACAGTTTCATTGATGATATAAAATTGTCATTCGTTTTACATGAGATAGAAAGTTGATAATTAACAATTTACAGGTTTATTGCAACAGTGATATGTAGGTGGGATAATATTTAGATGTTTATACAGATAGTCAGAACACTCAGCAAAACAAAACATAAAACTACTCACAATGATCACTGACGACAATACACCAGGACATACACGTTGGTTCGACTGAAAATCCAAAATGTTATTATAAATATCAACAAAAGTGTATGTTTAAGAGGAGCAGACAAAAAAGTATGGGCCAGCAGCATGACAGCGCCCTCTTGAACACGGACGTCACTCCCAAGAAAGTGAAAATAGTGTGAGAATTCACTCTTTTTTTTAAAGAGAGTACAGTTTTTGTTTTTGTTGTATAGTTTTAGAATTTTGTTTGCAGTATCATCCATAAAGCCATGTTATATTATTGATGATGAGTGGGGTCTATTCACTACATACCGGTATGGCTCTATATGATATTCACAAATGCTATATACTTGTCACATCTGTACAATTCTCATTATATAGTACATTATATAATCTTACATGTTACAACAGACTACTGTTCCATTACTGCCCATTCAGATCGAAATTCCATTTCATAACATGACGTCATTTAATTATGATGTATATATTTAAAGTTCAAGCAGCTTTGACAAAATAAAGTACCTACAAAATCAGGAGGAAAGGAGGATAGAATATTTTTACTATATACCCTCCAAACCAAGACAAGAGCTGGCCCAGCTAAAAGACATAATTTGAGGTTTTGTCTTGATTGTATTTGAGTTGAAGCAGTGATGATGATGATGTACTGTTACCATCCTCCTCCTACCGGTAGACTCTGAAGACCAGTCATTGAAGTATGCATTAATGCAATCTCAAGCAGTTGAAGAGTCAAGAGAGAGGGGTGAGAGGAGTGGTGGAGGTGGGTTCGGAGGTAAGAGAGGTAGAGAGAGAATAAATGAAGAGATTGAAATATATAGTTGGAGGGAGAGAGGGAGGGAGAGATAGAGAGGGGAGAGAGGGAGGGAGAGAGAGGGACGGAGGGAGGGAGAGAGAGGGAGGGAGGGAGGGAGGGAGGGAGGGAGGGAGAGAGAGACAGACAGACAGACAGAAAGAACAAGAGAGTATGTGCGAGATAAATTGACATCTATACTAAAAAAAAACTTATATACTTAGAGAGAAAGAGACAGGCAAACAGGAACAAAGACAGGTAGAGAGGAGGTACAGTAAATTAGGTAGCAATTTGGATATAAAGAAAAGAAGTAGAAACATTAAGAAAAGTTGTAAGTATAATGATAACTAGGGTACAAATGTCTGAATAGTGACATTTAGGGAGGAAGAGAAAGAAGGGGGAGAAAGAGGGAGATAGAGAGAAAGAGATGGGGAGCAAAAGATGGAGAGAGAGAGGGGAGAGAGAGAGAGAGAGAGAGAGAGAGATAGAGAGAGATATGGAGAGCGAGAGATGGAGAGAGAGAGAGATAGAGAGAGATGGAAAGAGAGAAGGAGAGGGAGGGAGAGAGAGAGATAGATAGATAGAAAGACAGAGAGAGAGAGAGAGAGAGGGAGAGAGAGAGAGATGGATGGATGTTGAGGGATTACAAGATAAAAAGATGCTTTGACTGAAGACCTATAGCTGAAAGAGACGGACCTTATAACCAAGGGAGAACTCTTTTGTGGGTTAAAACAGACGAGGACATGGGGGAGTGTTATGAGAGCGGTTGCAAGATGTCTCCCATGTCCTCTTCACTGTTTCCTCGCTCAGCGAATCCCAAGCTCCGCATCCCATCTTCCAGAGTTACCCTCATCCCGGGTAAGGAGGGAAGATGGAGGATGGGCCGGGAGATCCATTGGGAGCAGTTCTCCTAAATGCATTCTAAATGAAGGACCTTATGACTTGGTATCTGGCTTCCACATGGGACTTCTTCAATTGTAGGGTCAGATTTTGTATCTCTTTAATGCAGCATATTTAATTCATTGATAATCAGCATGGTATATGACTGTTACCTCTTTACAGCACCTAGGTATTCATTCCATATTTAAGAATTTTGTTCATATAACCTTGCCACTGAATGATGTATGATTTTTGAGAAATGTGTATTAGAGTCAATTATTTCCCACAGTGCGTAGTGGCACTTGACCTGTAATGTTTTAAGATGTTTTTAAGACATTACAATTTTGTATTGTTTACCAAATTCAAAATAATCAGAGAATGCAGATTGTATAAAACTATAAACACAAACATTAGACGGTCAACAGTCATGAATGGTTTGTTTTCAAAGTTTGAAAATGATTATTTAAGTTACTAGATTCCCTAGTTCCTTTACAATTGTAACCATGTCAAGAAATCATTTCTTTATTAATTTAAAATCCTTAACGTAGTGCTCTAGAGTTATTTAGACTTGATTTTAGATGTTGGAAGGCCTTATTAGTTTGAAATGTCCATATAGGCTTTTTAATTGTATTTATCGTGAAAGCGTTTAGGATGTCATTAGACTTTTAGAAAAATGCCAGGCACCACATACATTTTCAGGGTTAACACAAATGATCTCACAAGTTATAAAAAAGTTGCTAGATTCAAGTAAATCTATTTTGTGAATTCACATGACTAATAAAAACCACCCTTTTTAAAACAGAGAACAAATAGTTTTCTGTTTTGTTTTTGTGCAAAATGTTTTATTCAGAGTGTACTTCAATGAGATAAGACTTTGTGTAAATAGATGCTCTGTATAAAATCAGTATTACTTTATTTTTAGTAGAATTTACAACCGATGACAGTTCAAAGCTTTCACGTTCCATCCTGCGTTTCCATTTTCCTCTCTGATGCAGGATTGCTGCTATCAGGAAAGAGCGATCTCGGGATGCAGCTCGATCAAGGCGTGGCAAGGAGAACTACGAGTTCTACGAGCTAGCGAAGCTTCTCCCCCTTCCTGCGGCCATCACCAGCCAGCTGGACAAGGCATCGATCATCAGACTGACCATCGGCTATCTTCACATGAGGCACTTCTGTATTCAAGGAGACCCGCCTTGGCATAACTACCCAGAGAACATCTCAGCACCTACCAACTCATCCAGACACCTCTCAGTACTGCAAGGTAAGCACCAGAAGCAGAAATATAAGGATGGGTGTTAAGCACTTTTGACACCTGTTTCGTGCATCCAGTTATATGTTACACCTATGAAGTAAATATTAGAATAGAAGGGGATAAGTGTAAGAAGAGGGCAAACATACAGGTGCTTTAATTTATATACCAACTAAGGGTTGGGTGTTAGCGTAGGGTAGCACTTTTGACACCAGTTTCATGCATCCAGTTATTTGCTACACCTATGAAGTGGATATTAGAATAGAAGGGTGAGGGGGATAGGTGTAAGAAGAGGGCAAACATACAGGTGCTTTAATTTATATACCAACTAAGGGTTGGGTGTTAGCATAGGTTAGCACTTTTGAAACCAGTTTCATGCATCCAGTTATTTGTTACACCTGTGAAGTGAATATTAGAGTAGAAGGGTGAAGGGGATAGGTGTAAGAAGAGGGCAAACATACAGGTGCTTTCATTTATATACCAGTTCATGCATCTAGGTCTTTTGAAGACCGATGGGTGCTAGAAGGTGATACTGTTGGTAGAAAGGAAGTATAGAAAGTGTTGCTTGTAGTATCACCGGTTCCTTGCATCCAGTCCTTTTAAAATATATGAATACCGGTTCGGCATTGGAATGATTATTAGAAGGAAAATGTGGAGGAAGAGTGTTTTAGAGATGGGTAGGCATCTTGGTAAATATATGCATCACCCTTTTTCTACCAGTACAATCCATCCTGTTCTTTGGAAGACCTATGAGAAATGCAAAGTGAATATGCTTATTAGAATGAAAGGGTGAATTAAGAGGGCCGTTACAAGAAGAGGGGTATGATGGTAAAGGCGCACCACATTTTCTACCGATTCCATATCCAATACTTTTAAAAACTTACGAATACTCCAAGCTGAAATGATCATAAGAATGAAAGTGTGGAGGATGGGTGTTTTAGAGGGTGGTTTATATGATAAAGGTGCATCACTTATTTTCCACCAGTTCAATGCTCCTGGAGTTCTTTGAAAGAGCTATGAGTTATGAGAGATGAAATAATTTGTAGAATAGAATTGAGAAGGGGAATCGGTGTTAAAAAGGGGATAAAATTGTAAAGATGCCCTTTTTATTCATATTTTAAAAAGAATTCCTTGTATTTAAATTCTGTGCAATGCATATATCAGGTTTTGTTGATACCTTTGTTTTCTTGTAGGACGTTATACACATGTCCAGTCAGGAACCCATGCCATTGCAAGAGAAGTATATGAACATCACCTTGGAAGTCATATATTACAAGTAAGTATTATATATCACATATTAGTTATATATAATGTTGTACAGTCAAACCTGTCTGTAAAGACCACCCAAGGGAAACACAAAAAGTGGTCTTTGTAGACAGGTTCCTTTAGTACATGTTTCAATGATAAACCATTTTCAAGGGAAACTAAAAATGTGGTCTTTGTAAACAGGTGGTCACAAAGCAGGTTTGACTGTATATTATAATTTATATAGTAATACATTGAATATGATAACGTATATAGTTACATATTTTATATCACAAGTGATTAATTGTCACAATGAAATCTTGGTGTCTTTACTAGGAGGACGTTAAGAGGGCATAAATATCAAGCGTTAACCATATCTATAAAAAAAACTCCAGTAACACCTCTGAATAACATCTAAAGGTGAATTTAACAGCTCATCATATGTTTTCAAGGAATTTTCCCATATTTTATGCCTTGCCTCAATTTAATCTAAACAATGAAGAATACATTTAAGGATAATTGATTTGCAAGATAGCATTTGTTTGCCCTTGAATGGATTTATCTTGAAGTAGTTGGAAATATGATATATGAGTTTAGAATTTGTGTTGGCAGTGCCGCTTGCCAGATATATCTGAGAATTTTTGTTGTTGTCCGAACGGAAGTATGAACAATTTCATAGTGTCATATTATTTCTTGAATGATCTGGAAAATATCCAAATCTTTGAACAATAACAAGGTTTGATAGTTGATTTCAAGTGAATGTCATATTGTTTTATTTTTAAGTATTATGATTATTATTACCTTTTTATTCATCTAACATCTCTTTAGGTCACAATTAATCCAATAAAAACAACAGGGTATCAATGATTATGACTATTACTTTGCAATTGTGATGTATGAAACAGTAATGATGATCATGTTTACAACAGTCGTAACAATAATAATGGTTGTGATGAATGAGATGAAGCTGATATTACTGACTACCAATATGAATGAAGATGATCATTATGATGTCTGTTACCCATTATTCATCTAATATCTCTTTAGGTCACAGTTAATGCAATCTAAACAACAGGGTATCAATGATTATGATTATTACTTTGTAATCATAATGTAAGAAACAGTAATGATTATCATATCCACAATAGTCGTAATAATGATAGTGGTTATGATGAATGAGATGAAGCTGATATTTATTACTGGCTACAAATATGAATGAAGATGATCATTGTGATGTCTTTTGTGAAAGCAAACCATTTATAATAATGTCAGGCTGACTGAAGAGGCTACTTTCTCTTCTCCCCAATAATAGGATTTTCATTCTCATGGCGATGCTGCCAGCTTTCTATTGATCTCTCTACCTATGTAAGAGGAATGTATCTTGATCTGAATAAAACCAATATCAATGTAGTTGCCTTCAGGATCAGGAATGCAACATAAATCAGCTCTATAGATCATGTCTGAGTGAATGAACATTCAGTTGCATGATATATGTTATTGAGAGCTTTAGCTTTGGATCTATCACCCGTATGTTAGCTATTCATGATATTCTTCCTATTTCTGGTGAGAGTGTTATGTAAATTTTAAAGATAATTATAAGTGAAAAAAACTAGATATTTTTGGGGAATATGCTTACCCTTATGATATAAAGTTATAAAGATCAGAAGACTTCTTAATCAAGGGACAAGCCATAAGCAGCATGTTTATAGCATCTCATTTCATTATGATTCTAGGTGTATGATATATATGAGAAGATATTATATTTAATTTTCAGCACAAGTACATACTTGGCATAATATTTAACAACAAATAAAAAATATATTTGTTCAAGAGTCTTTTAGAAGTTTTATTTAGAATTCTTCCTTTCATTAATGACTTAACAAAAATACACTTGATATTTCATGTTGGCAAGATCATATTTCAAAATAATGGGGGAAAAAAGCGGTGGCAAATTGGGTGAACCTTTCTGTAACTTTTACAAGTGAAATCAAGTTTCCATCATTGTCTTTCAGGGATAGATGTTGAGTTTTTACTTTTTTTGACATCTTGCATCCTTTTGCAATATATGCATTGTGAATAAATGTATGTAAATACATGTACTTTATTTAGTACCACAGTGCATATTTTTGTTGTTGGGGGGAGGGGTATATATCTGAAGTTTCAGATTGATGAAATGTGTTTAATGAATATTTTTCCATTTTTCATTGCAGAGCTTAGATGGCTTTCTCTTTGCGTTATACAGAGATGGACGGTTTCTATACATCTCAGAGACAGTATCAATATATCTGGGACTCTCACAGGTGAGGATGTAAAACATTTTCATCAGAAAGAAGTAAAAATATAAAACATGAGGAATTTGAGATTAAAACAAAAAATCCATTGCTTTTAATACTTTTCTGGTTAGTGTCTACATAAATTTATCAAATGAGTTGTTCTTCCAAATCTTCCAAATCTTAATAACAGAGAAAGAAACACTTTTTTACCAATATTAGAAATTTGTTAATCTGAAAATGAATTAATGTGTACTTGCTTCAAGGAATTCATCCTGCTTGGATTGAATGATCAATATCTATCTAATAAGGCCAAACTTTACTGTTTATAAGTTATAAACTTAGGAACCCTGTTGAACTCTTGAGAACATCAGTGGTGCAATGAACAGGAAGTATGATATCCTGGTTAAAGACCATTTTATCTCCTTTTCAGTTTAGAATAGATCTTGATTGTATTCATATTCATATTTCTGGTCATAATGATAACAAATTATGAAATTATAGAATGCGAGAATGCCACTCAGAGGTATCTCTTAAACACTCCTACAAATTAGCATAACAATTTCAGTTATGAATTGTGTTTTTTTAAGGAGAGAAATCCCAGATTTTATTGTAATTTTTGTCAAACATTTTAGCAGAAATAAGTGATATGATGATCACATGTTTTCTGTGTTTCATTATTTTTTTGTAGTTGAATCCATGTATGGTCAATTATCAAGCCAATTAAAGTGCATCAGTGTTGTTTCAGAATGTGTATGCATATCAACAATATGCATTGATTATATACCGTAGCTGTATCTCTGTTAAATTAAGCCAGTGATGAAGTACATTACAAGTCATTATACTTAAATACAGATTTATCATCTGCTTATCTAAAATCTCTATCGGTATCCATTTCATGTTAATTTCATTTAATGCAGCTTGCTTGCTCAAAACCCAACTGATATTACTGCCCTCATATCAATGCTTGACCTCAAGTCAATTAATCATCCTTTCTTCCCCACCCTTTTCCCTATTCACTCAGTATAACAGTCAAATTGAATAATTGGCTTGGAATAGGTGTGAAAACTTTGCTAATTCACCCCGAGGGGGGTCATTGTACCCCTCTCCCACTTTCCCCTACCTGGTATTGGTGTTTCTTTACCTCCTGAGGGAGACCGTTGATAGGGATTAAACTGAATGACATCATAGTAAATAGGAGTGACCAGTGTAGTCTATCACTTATACTCTCACACTCTTTCCTGTGTAACATATTCATTTTTTTATTGGCATAAAAGGATACAAATAAATGAGATTAAAATTTGACCCAAGTACAGTAGAAAGATATTAAAATGAGAATTTGAATTTGTGCTAATGACATTTTTAGTGTGAATGTTAGTGAAATAATGACAATAACAGAGACAGACACATTGTTTATTGTTACATAAATCTTGTGGTACACAAATATTTATGGTCATATCATTTTTTTGATTTAACAGATGAGTTTTACCTTATAGAATGCAGTTTCATCTATAAAGCATAACTCTTGAGGAGTTTAAATAGTAAAACATGTGCATTTGATAGTATACAGTTGGTTTGGGAAAACCAGTTTGTGGAGAGTTTGTATTAATGCGTTAATATTAAAATTGATAGGGATTTTAAAAATCCATTATTGCAGTTCAGGCATTTAATTGACACATATTTTAAGATTTGAAATATGTAGATATAGTTCTTATTCAATGTATAGTTATAAAACATAAGTATAACAATTTGATTATGGCTATGTAGTTAATTTCTTGTTGTTAATATTTGAATTAATTGGAAAGCAAGGAGGAAAATACAATGTTCTAAATAAAGGAATATATAGACAAATCAAAGAACATTGAAATTTGTGAGGAGTTAAAAGGGGGAAAAAATGTATATCATGCCAAAAATGACTGAATAGAAGACCTTCTAATGTAGATGGTAGATTCAAATGTTATATAAAGAAAAAAGAAAGAAGATATAAGTCAAGCAAATCAGGCAAATTGATTTTGCTCATGTTCTAAGAATGTATGCTTGATGACATCTGCTTGCACTTTTATTCTCCAGACTCTCTCTGGAGTTGAGAACACTCAAACAGAAGGGCCAATCATTATTTCATCATTAGACCAGCTTTTAGACCATTATCATTGTAAACCTGAATCAGTGTTAAGCATTTATTTATGGTAATCATCATCCTCTGGTCAGGTTTGAAAAGACAGCTTTTTCTTGGCTTTCTTTGAAGGGTAAAATTGATCTCTTATTGGGATAAGAGAATGTCTTTGATGGGCTAGGTAATTTGAAGTTAATGATGTGGAGCTGATGCTACTTCAAATTCCATGAATCAAAACCCCATTACCACCACCCTACGGTTGCTAATAGGCGCTACGGTGCCACCCTCCAAAGGCAAATGTACCCTGGTTCTATGAGAGCGTTAGGCAGGAATATAATGAATTGATGCTTAATTAGTGTCATGGGCTCGGTGATGGGCGGGCCTGGTTTACTAGCAAGATGAGAATATTATGTGATTTAGATGATGTGAATGGTAGCTTGGGGAATAGGACGGGAGGGTGTTTGATGACGGGATAGCTTGTAGAGCAGGAAAGGTTAGGAGGATGGAAGGATGTGATCAAGAGGGGAAGCATATTCAATGAATTTTCTCACCTGTTTCCCAAGACTTTTGACGTCAAGGGAAAACTTGTTGGCGGCTGGTCTCTATGGAAGTATTAGAAGGAATGAAGATTGAGACTCAAGAAGAAATTTCATCTCAATTCCAACTTTTTATGTGTCAAGTAGGTCATTTAGATCTTTGATGCTGCGAATTGAAAAGCTAGTATTAAAGTAACATGATTGAATTTATTACAATTAAAATCCCACTACATTTTTATAATCTCATATCAAAGTACCATATCATTACTTTGTACATTTGTGATTGAGCATATTAACTTTTCTTTTGTAATTGAACTTAGAAACACATTAAGGTTTTTGAAAAATAGATGCTGAGAAAGGGAATGAGGTTATTCATTGAATTTATTTGTAATGGATAAATCTATGTAAATACTGAATAGTCATTTGAATGAAAGGATTTTTAAAGAATATGTCTTTCGAATTTGAATAGCTTGACTGCATTCATTTTGCAAACACTGAAAAACAGGTCAGGCTTTACTTTTCATTGTGGTGTTTAGTCTGAAAAGAGAGGAAGACATACTTTTGTATTCACCTGCCGTCATCATTGGCTACACTCCACTTGACATACATCTATGGGTTGTACCTCATCATGAAAACTAAAACCTTGATCCCCAAAGTATCCAGGATTCTTCACGCCCCACTGAAGTAGAGAAATCCTGCCCTCTTTAGACACCCCAAACCTTGTTCTGTTACAAAACAGTACACTTACTACCTACTCTCATCACACTTCTAGCTTCCACGGGCCAGAGGTGGGGCCAGAGGAGGGTCCATCTTTACACCTCTTTGAGGAGAAGTTGAATTCTGAAGCAAGTCTATCCTGTTAATCCTCCTGTAACCAAGAGAGAGCTGAAATATTCAGAGCTTTCCTGGTTCCTTCAGGGAGTCCAGAAAGTATCGTGACCTCATGTATATTCATCCAACTTGGAGGTTCTCTTGCACTTTTTTTGCACAAAGACTCTGCGAAGAAGCCTCAAGACTAGGTCGTTACAGTCTTAATGGGCCTAATGGAACGCCATCATCATACATCATCATCTTCACTTTCTTGAAGCTTCTTCTTTGTCCAGACCAGCCATCTCAATAATTCAGTTGCACTCATTTTCTTCAAAACCATCTTCCTTTTGTCTTGAGGAAAATTAGAAGTAGTTTGAGTTTGAGTGATAGATGTGGTTGTCCAGTGTAGCTCCAAACTGTTCATTGGTATTATGTTTTTAGGTTTTGACTTTACACCGTAACCCTCAGTGGAACCATTGCCATGCACATCAAAGCCAATCGGTCGGTTTCCTCCGTTAGTTTACTTTTTCTCTTGAGAATGTGTGAAGTGAGTCAATCAAGTCCTTACAATTCTTAATTTCCATTATTTAGCACTATGGTAGGAATAAATATTGATAATGCAGCCTTGAGAATTTTTAAAACTGCTGCACTTTTTGTACTTCAAGGTTAATATCTTCATGTAATATTTATGGGATATAGACTGTTATCATTCATCATTCCTTTATTAGCAGTTTTTGGTTCCATGTCATTTAGTAGCTTTGTAGGAGATAAAATAAACTTTTTGCACAAACAAAAGCTTTCTTGCTTGACAGAGACGTAACGTAGGGTTTACACTGTATGATAGTTAGGATATGAAAATGGAAATAAGGAAAGATATTGCACAATATGACCAATAAATGCACTAGTGAATACATGTATTGATGAGTAGGAAGGAGTCAACACAACGACCAAATTATAATGAAACCACACAAACATACTCCCTCATAATCTGAAATTTCTTTCAACAATAAGAGGTTTATCGTAGATCAAAATGTATACTTCACAGTTTGAATTCCATCCTGAAAACACCGAAGTAAAATAAGAGTGAAGTTAGGAAAGCATTATTAGATATTATGAATGGTAATAAGAGAACAATCAACACCTATGAATCTTTGCCGTGGATGTAGCCTCTGAACTGAATGTGATTTAATAGAGTCAAGCCCATTTCTGAAGGACTCTCGGAGACTGAGAAAAGTGATCTTGCGTCTAACCGCTGGGGGTAACTAGACCCTAAATGCTCACCTCCTAGGTGAAACTAATGAATAGAATTATCTCTGATGTATTCTGCGTTTCATTCTACAACTGTTTGACAGCTGACTTAAAAGTTCAGACGAATCTAAAAGGCAAATCATCCTGATCTCTTTTCTTTCTCCAGAGTCTGTATGTTCCAGTAGTATATTTGTCTGTTTTTGTCTAGTGCACTTCAACCTCTTAGTGAAATTTGTGTCTTCTTGACTGTCAATCATTGTTCTACTTCCATCTTCAACTATCTTGATTTCCATTTTCTTTCCTGTTTTTCTTTTCTTACAACATCTATATTTTCTCTCATTCTTTTTGCCTTTTGCTTTCTTTTTTCTGTCTCCTTTTGTCCGTTCTGTCTCACCTTCTCTTTGTGCTACTCTACATACTGACTACTCTCTCTCTCTCTTTTTTTTTTTTTTTTATCTCTTTCTCTCTTTCTTTCTCTTTCTCTCTTTCTTTCTCTCTCTCTCTTTCTTTCTCTCCATACCTACCTCTCTCTATCTCTGTATTTCTTGCTCCTTTTCTTTTCTCTCTCTTGATCTATCTATTTTCTTCTCCTTCTCTATCTTTCCCTGTCTCTGCCTCTCTCTTTCTCCATCTCCTTCTCATTAAAAATAAAGCACATTGAAAATTGTTCATCGTGTGCTGTTTGATTGTAACTTATTATCATTAGTATATATCTTTTGTCCTCATCCCACACCTCTATCCCCGCCTAAAGATTTCATCATTTAATATTTTATTTAATGACAGGTGGAGTTGATGGGTTGTTCTGTCTTTGACTATGTGCATCCTGGAGATCATGCAGAGTTAGCTGAGCAGCTTGGAATGAAGCTACCACCCAATAAGACATCTTCATCCTCACCATCCAGTACCAATGCTGATGGTAACTCTACTAGTGGTTCCGGTGCTGGTAGTCCTGCTGCTATAGGTCCATCAGCTATCCAAGGTGGGTATATACATTCAATCCTGCTTCAGTTACCACTAGGAAAGAAGGACCATGTTTTGGTTTCTCTTGATCAATGTTTGTCTCCCTTGGGTAGTCTTTATATGCAGGTTACACTGTAGTACCAATGAATCATATTTAGAACATCCCCTTGAGATTAAAGAGTGCAGTATCAATTGAAACTGTCTGGTAATAATGTTTATGCCATTAGAAATAACTAAATGAATCTTATATATGATTATTTAAAAAAAAATTGTGGCCAGATTATTTTATCCCCATGTTTATTTTTCTTTTACTTAGTCTACAGATAAGCCCTCATAAATGTTTATATTTTTGTACATTTTCTTCTTTCTTCACTATATTTTTGTTCTTCAATGCTTAGATTGATCAGTTTATCATTGACAATTTAAAAGTAAAAGTTTCATTGGTCAGCTTGTGAATAGACATACAACCAGCACTTTGATCTGAATTCAAGACATATACAGAAAGAGGTTAAGCATGGTACCAGTTTGAAGGTTAAACATTTTCTAAAGGTTTTCCATTTAACTGTACTGTGTGGAAGGAAATTTGAAGCGTTTAGATTGAGTCCCTAAATTCACCTGTTCCCCACTACCAAAGTGCAATAACTGTGCCATGTAAATGCCTTGGGTACAATTTCCTCCTGCAAGTGTTTTCCCAATTTTAATAGTCAATATTTGAATATTGATCTAACCTGTCTTTGTAGTGTGCTTGTAAAATCTGATAATTCCTTGTAAAACCTCACACAGACGAGAGTGTGACCAGCGAATTGTCCAACTTTTGAAGCTCTCTCAAATGTCTAGGCCAAATTAGCTCGTCAAGGTCGAGCTCGGCGGAGAAGGTCCGCCGGAAACTCAAGATGCGTAAGATTGCACGGACAAGAGGAGAGCGCACATCTTCACGACAGAATATGATACGCTGATGAAAAATTCATGAGGCTCCCCCACATTTCTCTATATTTTTTATCTCTCTGTCTTTTTCACCGACCGACCGACCATCTCTCCAGTTCTCCTTTTCTCTCTTTAATCTGTTGAACCCGCCAAACAAATGACTCGCCAACCCAAGATCAAATATGTGTACTGCACTTCGATGTGTTTCAAACATGCATTTTCCAGCCGACAATTTGGGATGTGTACCGGAGCTGGGGAAATCAATAAAGGCTTTGCTGTCAAACTCTAGGCTTTGGTCTGGAGTGTCAACAGTAAGGTGAAAAGAGACATTGCTATAGACACATGTAGATGTTACTGCTTATTTTTCCATATCGTTCAATTTCTGTAATTTAAAAACAAAACCTGCATTGAGCTTGTTTGCCTCTTTATCTTGAGTTTAAATTCTTGGATATTATTCATCATACACTCCTGATAACTGGAGACAAATTTTGTTACCAAATTTTGAGTATCAGAGTGAAGGAAAGAGCAATACCGCAAAATGGCCTCTTGAAATGAATCTATGAATATTAGGGCAAATATGAAGACTTGTTCAGGTAAAATTAGAGCAATTATGGGGAAGGAAATGTCTTGACATGTTCTCAGTCTTTGGATGCATTTTATTACATCTTAGAAGACTGAATGAAACTAGGTGACCCTACTATTGTCAAATATGATATTTTATCACTATATTTATGACTGCCCACATTTCAGTCAGTTTTGTTTTACAAGTATATCAATGTGATACTGCAAACCTTTTTGCCTGTCTTTAATTTTTGTTCTCTTATCTTTTATCTGATGAGTGCGAGTTCAAAACCTTCAGTATATTTTTGTCCATGCTATCCTTATTTCTCTTTTTTCTTCTCTCTGTCTTAACTAGTGTAGAGCTGTCTGTTGCATTCTCTCTCTTTGGTTCAGGTTCATGAAAATATTATATATCAGTTAGGTACTCCAAAAAGGAAGATGTGAAAAACTGAAACAGTTCTTATTTTTGCACAGTCTATACATCTAACCTATTAATGAATATAAGGCAATTTTCTTTTTTCATATCCATAACAATTATTTCATTTTTTGGGGGACGGGAGGGACGGCATTGTCGATTTTGTATCATTAAAGGGACTTAATAACATTGTTCGGATGAGAAAAAATGGTGCTAAGGCAGTGACTTTAATGCTAGATATATGATTAAAGATAATCTGAAAGTTTGAGTAAAAACAGACCATTATTAATGATAATAATTTGAAAACACTGATCTGATCGATTCCTGAATTCTCCCAACCATATTATTATAATTTATTTAAATTTTAGATGAATGTAAATCGTCACAAAGCAATTAATTGGCTTTATATACCATTTCAAACGTTTAATAGTTGAAAGATTTTTAAGCCTGTTTTATGTCTTATTATCATGGAAAAACGGTTGAGAAAATTCAAAAATTGGTTAGGAGAATTTTAGAGGGTGTTGCACAGTTATGCCTTCAAAGAAAACCATTAATATCTTTGTGGTTTGAGAATTTTTTCAGGATTTTTTGCATGTTAGAGGGTGAGTACAGTAGAAGAAATATAATAATTAACATTTCATATAAAATTGTGCAGTATTTTCATTAAACTTCAACAAAATTGTGAACATTTATATAACTGAGAATTTGTTGGTCCTTGCTGCAAAATTGTTCATTAGTTATTTTTATTTTCATAAATTCACATTGAATAAAAGACCTTTTTATTAGAATGAAGTAAGCACGCAGATGTCAGTAATTGGAATATTTACCCTATTTTGCCTGGTTTCTAGACATGTGATGACAAATGAGGATGTTGAATCAATAGAAAGCTAAAGAGGAAGTAAAGAAGCTACTATGTGTTTGTAAAGACTGTTTGTGAAATAACAGAGTATCATTTGCAAAATGACCAATAAAGCTAAAATACACATCCAGCCTTCATTCTAGGACACCTAGCGTACTCTGTCTCTCCAACACCAACACTTTCAGGTCAATTTGCTGAGTAAATGCTTGCCAATTCCCCGCCACCCAGCCTCCCTGTAGAACCAACACCAAACCCCCTAAAAGCGGACATGTGCAAACTGCTCTGGAGCGGTCTTCTCTCCCATCGCAAACAAAAAAGACCGGTTGTGGGAGGCGGGTGCATGTTGACACGCTACTCGGACGTACGCTATGCCAGCTTCACTTGCCGACTTGAGATGCGCACTGGAGAGCAATCTTGCCTTGTCAAGCCTCCCTGGCATTGGCTAATGCTTATCTTCTTTCTCCTCTCCTCTCATTCCTCTCTTTGTCGAGATGTCTCCCTTTCTATCTCTTCTGCCTGCTCTGGTTCCAGTACCCTCCTTATTTAACCCCTGTCGGCCGGTTGAGCACAAGTGGACGGTCTAGAGTAGAGTAATTAGCTGTGAAATGGGCTTGGTGTTTGTAAGATACTTGAGATACTGCCCTCTAAAACCTTCATGAATTTAGAATGTGTAGTTACCATAAAAGAGAACACCCATTCTTGATGACACACCTCCATATATCTTAGTTTAAAACTTTGTTGTTAGTGTCTGTATCATTGACTCCCACTTTCTCCTTTCATGATTTGTTCTCTCCATTTATACTGTTAAGCTTTTACCTTTCCAATTTCATATTACTTATTCCATTTCATTTTCATGCCAAGTTCCTTTTTAGATTCATGATTAATTTTGATGTGTTCTATCCTGCTGTTCCTCCATCTTCCAAGTGATTTTTTCTCCCTATCTATTCCCTGAGAGACAGATCTCAAGTTGTGAATGCATCCAGAAGCACCTATGGCTAGATCTCTAGTGGTCTTGTGATTTCACTGGCTGGTGGACTATATCCTCAGCTCTACTCCATCTCATGTCTTGGTCTCTCTCTCTCTCTCTCTCTCTCTCTCTCTCTCTCTCTCTCTCATTAAATGTGTTATATATATATAAATGTTCTCTCTGTATCTCTCTCTGTATCTCTCTATGTATCTCTCTGTCTCTCTACTTCCCTCTCTTCCCCTTCTCCCCTCCCTTTTTCTTCTTTTGTTCACTTTCTCTCCTCTTTCCCTCTATCTCTTGACCTCTCCCTATCTATCTCTATCTAGCCCTGTCTACCTCTCTTTTGACTCTCCATTTTCTCTTTCTTTCGGTTTCATGCACACCTAACTCTCTCTCTTTCTTTTCTTTATTTCAACACATTTTCTGTATAGATCCTTTTTTCCTGTACTTTATCTCTCTCTCTCTATGTATTTTCTCTTCTCATCCCACTTTTTCTTTTCAAATCTTGGTGAAGGTTACTTCAAGTAAAATTAATTGTAAGCTTATTCATTATTTGTTAAACATTCATATTTTCTTTATAAGAGCAAGGATGTCCCAAGCTCAGAAATCTGGAGGGAAAAAAAAGGGGAAAAAATATCCTGAAATCTGAAGGCAGGAACTATTTTAGTCCATCCTATCCATCTAGTACACAAACATCTTAAAATGTTTTGATACTTCATTATTTTGAAAAAAGGGATATTCTCTACCAGTAGATCTATAGAGGCTGAATATACCCTTCTTCTTTTCATTCTGTTCAGATCGCTTACAGTCATAAGTCAAAAGTGACAATTCAGATTTCTTTAACGCTCCCATGGAATAAAGGATGATACAGTATGAGGGGTTTGATAACTCCCAAACCGAGAGTCCGTGGCACCTCCCGACTCCCGTTCTGCGACACTCAGGGGAGAGATAACGACCTATACGTGCTCAAAATTATTGAATAACTTTTTATGCGCTTGAAAAATCGAACATGGCCGACAATGCCCTGTGCAAATGAAGGAAGGGGAAGAGAGAAGGAGAAGCGGAGTCCTGTCTTAGTATATCCCAAGAGGTTAAGTAGTGGTGAATTTGATTAGCATGTTATTGATTGTTAGCTTCCCCAGAAAATCAATTTGGCAATAAGTTTGGTTTGATCAAATGAAGGCAAGCACACGTATATATATATATATGGGCAAGGGATTGATTGAGTCAAATAATATTCATATGAAAAAAAGGTCAGAAATGGAAGACTTGTTGCAGATTTCGTTATTGCCT